CTTTAACCCATTGTGCCACCAGGGAGGGCCCCAAAATATTTAAAATTAAAAAAATAATAATTTTAAGGTTACTAAAAAAAAAAAAAAACCCACTAGGAGTGCAGCAGAAAATCCTGTCTCTCCAGGGTATATACACAGACTCATGGCTGCTAGAGTAAAGAAAAAACTCTACCACTGAAATGGTCAAGGTTCAATCCTAAGCCCAGGATTCTATACCAATACCATTCCAGGTTCCCTGCCAGTGCAAAAGTAATGCTAGAGGATGTAAAAATCTGTGGTACACTGAAATCAACATTCACAACCACAAAACCCAAACCCAGTTAAATTCCTAAGCAGACTGACAAATCCATATGACAAGCCTGTTAGAAGAGGCTTGCCCATTTCTATTGGAGTTCCATTCAATAAAGTAAAACTTAAGCCCAACAGGCAAGTTTGAGGAGGGAGGTCTGAACAGACAAGGAAAGCCCTAAGATTGCCAAGGGAACTGGGCCAAAACACAAGCCACTCTTACCAGAAAGACCAGCCCAGCTCCAGGAATGGAGAGGCAGAGCCAGGACATATTCTGTGTCAAAGGCCAACACTTGAGACCAGACATCCCAATGTCTAACCGGTGCAAACTGAGGCCCCAGCAAAAACAGAGTATAAAGAGCCTGAAATCCTTCCAATGCAGACCTAAATCTCCCTACTCACCGCTGTCTCTGCAGGGTATTTCAAATAAATCCACCTTTCTGTTCTCCACTCTGTCTCCCGTGAATTCTTTCACCCTCACACCTCCAACCTCACCCTGATATTAGAATGCCACAATATCCAAGCATCAATGCTATTTACCAGGCTCTGTTATATAAGCAGTAGTTGGTATTCATTTTTTTTTTTAAGATTTATTTATTTATTCATACAGAACTGGGGTACAGGCCAGAGATGCGGAGGGTGAGAGGCTTCACCAGAGACAAAGTGGGGAGCAGAACAGGCAGATCGACGAAGTACACTGCTGAGGGGAGCAGCGGGCGGGTCAGGAGAGGTCTGCCACGCCGGTATTCAATTTTTAAAAATTGAGATACACAAAGAATAAAAACCAAACCTCTTTCCATACATGAAACAATCAAAAAGAACATACACGAAATGATTGATACTGACTGGCACAGTAGGGTAGGGGTTTAAGCTCTGATTAACACGTTGAAGAATCTACTGTCTTGTCGTTAATAGTCCCTTTTCTATAAAGGATACTCATACATAAAGGAAGTAGTAGTTGCCAAATAAAATAGAACTAAATGTGTCTTTCAGGTAAACAAGTAATTTTTTAGACTAAGTGGTTTGGTATATATATATATATATATATAAATGTATTTCATTGTTTCTATGACGTTAAAATATGAATAGAAAGACTACGTTTTGACTACAGCTAACCCTGGCACCCCTGCAGACCCATTAATTACAGTGAAGTAAGACACCCAAAAGCAAGAAGATCGCCCAGAAGCCCTCAGTGAAAGCTAACGCTGCTTGCCCACCCGGCCCCTCTTTCATTCCTGGTCCCTTCTTTCCCTCACTCAATTTTTAAATTAACCAGCTGTGCTTGCGGTTCTTCATCCCAAGCGAAGTAGGATCTCTAGGGCTGGTCCAAATGCATTCCGAATTTAAGGGAAGGCAATCCAGCAGGTGACATCAAGACGCACCAGGCCTCACCCACAAGGGCGCGCGCGACGCGTAAATACGACGTCATCGGGCGCCAGCCCCCGAGCCTGACGGGATTGTGGCGGTCCTCTCTTCCTACTCGGAAGCGGCCTCTGCCTCCGGACGCTCTCAAGATGGCGACCTCTCTGGGTTCCAACACTTACAACAGGCAGAACTGGGAAGATGCGGTGAGTGTGCCTGTCGGAGGAAGACGGAAGGCGGCGGCAAGGCCGGGCGTCCTGCGGGCGGGCAGCAGCGGGCCTGCAGCGCTGCCCGGAGAATTCCGGGGACGAGCAGCGCCGCGGCCTAGCTGGGACAGAGCAGGAGCCTGGAGGGCAGCCCTCCTGCGGGTTTGGAGCAAGGGAGCTTAGTCAGGGTGCGAGACCAGCCCCGTTTACATCTCTGTCCCCTTTTGGAGCTTGCCTTCTTTTTTCTTGCCACTTGCCGGAAGTGCAGACAGCGCCGCCTCCCGCGACCGGCCCGTGCAGGCCCCCAGGTTCCTGCCCGGTTCATCACCCTCGCTCCTCGCCTCCCCTCCCCCCCGCCACAATGAGTGTGGCTGCGTTGGCAGGGTTTTCTGAGCCTGGCCCTCAACCAGATTTCCCATTTTCACCAGGACTTCCCCATTCTGTGCCAGACCTGTCTTGGAGAAAACCCATATATCCGAATGGTGAGTGCTCCAGTATGAAGTGAGTGTTATTGTTCACGTTCTATCAGGGTGGTGGTATTTGCACCCCGTGGGTGTGCCAAACAGAAGTGATGATGCTTCCTTAATCCAACGGCGACGACTTGCAAAGTACTTTCATGCTTATTCTCTCAACTTTGGGACTGGGCAACAATCCTTTGATGTAGCAATCAAAATAATAGCTAGTATTTGTTGAACATTTGCCTAAAGGGTAGATTTATTAACTGAAGCCAAAGGGAGTCTATGGCTTTTCATAAAGCACGTAAGGAGTAGGGTGGGGAATTTAAATCCAGATATCATGATTCTAGGAATCTCAGCAAATTAGCAGAACTAGTACTAGAAACTAAGCTTCCTGACTCCTAATCAAAGAGGCCTTTTGGCCTGTGAACCTTGTGGTAGTCTTTTGTGTAAGGTAACCCTATCTTTATAGATAAAGATAAAATTAGCACAGTTAACATTTCATAATTGGATTATGATTGCTTTTAAAGATATTTACATATTGAAACATTCAATGTGTTTGAATAGCTTGTGGGACCAGAGCATTTGCTGAATAGAAGGAATCAGCATAAGATGAGTCTGTAGTAGTACTTTCTGTCTAAACTTTGTGCAATGGACTGCCTGTGGCTGCATCTTCCCTGATATGGGCACTGTGAAAACAGGAATTTTAGTTCTTGGGAGAGAGGTAGAAGCCTGAAGAGTTGTGGCTGTGGAAAGACATATACTGTCCTAGAGTTAGAGCCGTACCTCAAATGTACTATTTCTCTGGCTTTCCTCTCATGTCTGTCCTCTCTCCCCCCGCCCTTACCCCCACCCCCAAAGAAAAGGTTAAGTTTTCCCCTCCTTCTTAGGATGCCAGGGATCTCCAGGCATATTTCTTAGATTTTATTTAGGGATACAACAATTTGGTTTTTCTTCCTCCGTAACTCCAGTTCTTTTCTATTTTTTCTGTTTCAGACCAAAGAAAAGTATGGGAAAGAATGCAAAGTAAGTGTCTCTGTGAAAGACCAGTGTTTTCGTTTCTTTTTCTCTGTCAGTTAGCTTCTTGCTACACTTTTGTGGTGCTCCAGTAAAAATGCTATACAACTTTTGTATATCATTTATATGTTCTTTGGCTTTGTAGCTATTAAGTGTGGGTGGTCGGAAAGTGAGTCTTTTAACATAAGAATTTTTTTTTAAGCAATTTTATTTTACTGTATTAACTTTTTTGTATAGAAGAACTGGAGTATAGGCCAGAAATGCAGGGGTGACAGGTGGTAAAAGAATTCACAGAGACAGAGTGGGAAGCAGAACAGGCAAATTGACTGAAATCCATTGCTGAGGGGGAAACTGTGTGAGACAGGAGAGGTCCTCTGCACCATATGTGGATTAGCTCCTGGCCAGGGATTGGACTGAGGTCTTAGCAGTGACAGCTCTGAGACTTAGCCCATAGGCTACCTAGGAGGCCTGACATAGGAATTTTTTTTTAAGATTCATTTATTTATGCATACAGAACTGGGCTACAGGCCAGAGGTGCAGAGGGTGAATGATTCATCAGAGGCAGTGAGGAGCAGAATAGGCAGACTGATTGAAATACACTGCTGAAATACACTGCCAAGGGGAGTAGCAGGCAGGTCAGGAGAGGTCTGCCTGCTGCACTACCAGAGAGGGCTCCCGACATAGGAATTCTTAACATGATGTCTGGATGGCCTTTGACCTGTCCCCAAGCCCCCACAGTTATATACTGGTATTTGACTGTACACATGAGCATTTTAGTTGAGGAGGTAGGTAGGTCATAGCTGTCATTAAAAGGCTATCTCCTTCCACTCTCCTTCCCTTCCAAAAATAAAACTTTTAACAGTCAGATAGGGTGGGGAGGACTTTGACTTTTGATTACTTCATTTCTGTGATTTATTTTTCTTAAACATTGTTAAGTTTGTGTCATTACTGGAGAAAGGTACTTAATGCACATGGGATTGAAGTATGAGATGATGTTTAGAGTAGATGATAGCTGAAGGCTTTTTCTAAACCCTGATTCAGGGATCCTTTCTCTGAGTCTTCCCTTGTTATTAAATTTCCTGGGTTATTTGTTAGGTCAGTACCATTAACACTGTGTGGCTCCTATTTTGTGTTGAAGATTTGTGCACGGCCATTCACAGTATTTCGCTGGTGCCCTGGTGTCCGCATGCGTTTCAAGAAGACTGAAGTGTGCCAAACCTGCAGTAAATTGAAGAATGTCTGTCAGACCTGCCTCTTGGACCTCGAGTACGGTAAGTTCACCCTTTCCAGTGGTTCTGAAAAACAGCAGACTTGTCTTTACATTTCTCACCCTGTTTCTGGCTCTCACTTCACATTGGACTATCTGCTGTAATCTGCTTTACCAGCAAAAGGAGAACCATTCTAATTAGGCCACTGTAGAGCCCTCCTGAACAGCAGTAGGAACTTGAGGAAAAGTTGGGAATAGTCTGAACTGGCCTAAACTTCCCTCGTGGATATCCCGCTAACAAAGGTAGAGGCAATGTAATTTCTTTGCCTGGGACTTCTCTCTGGATACAGAACTTTTCATTACAATCTCTACAAGCTCATAGACTAATTGTGTTTTAGGTTTTTGTCCCAACTATGTTAGGAATGAACTGATTTATTACTACTGTTTCAATATAACTGCTTTGGAGAACTTTTTTTAAACTGTAGATAACTTTTGATTTATGAGAAAAATACTTTTCAACAATAATGTCTATACAATAAAGTAAAAAGGAAAATATGTTTATATTGTCAGGTTTAGAAAGTTGTTCTGATAATCAGAATTCTGGTCACGTTTTTACATATTTATGTTTAGTAAAGAGACATCAAATTTCATGACAGCTCAGGAATTTGGACAATTTCTTTAGTAGTATTTGCATGATGATACTAAAGATTATTAATAAAAGCAGCCGCCATACCAAACAGAAAGTGGAGAAGGGAAGGATGATGCTGTACTTGCTGTACATGTCCAGTGTAGATATGTTCTAAAATACATCTGTATTTTTCCCCTCCTTTGTACCAGGCCTGCCCATCCAGGTTCGTGACGCAGGGTTGTCTTTTAAGGATGACATGCCAAAATCAGATGTCAACAAAGAATACTACACGCAGAATATGGAGAGAGAAGTATGCTACCACTTTCTTGATAGTGTACTTATTTGATAAAGCATTCTTGTGAACTGACAAAGTCTAAATAATTTTTCTTTGGAAATTTGCCCTCCCTGTGTAGATTTCTAACTCTGATGGAACGCGGCCAGTTGGCATGCTGGGGAAAGCCACATCTACCAGTGACATGCTACTCAAACTGGCCCGGACCACGCCCTACTACAAAAGGAATCGACCTCACATTTGTTCCTTCTGGGTGAAAGGAGAGTGTAAGAGAGGAGAGGAATGTCCTTACAGGCAAGAGCAGAATTCCATTTTTAGTATTTGCTTTCAGCTGGTTAGTCATCTAAAAAGAGGGAAATGCTAGTTTAAACTATTAGATTTTCTGCTTCAAATTCTAAGAACATGAATACACCTAGTTGGTATATCTCTCATGTCTTAGGGCTGTTAAATTCAGGAGAGTGATTAAATTGCTTTTTACATACAGAAGAGTTTTTCCTTATACCCAGGCCTTGAGAGATTTAATTGCTATGCCATTTAATAGAGATGTTAACATGAGAAGTTTCTACCTGACATGTCAGCCTTCACTGTCATAGTATACATTGAATATGAATATATAGTTGTGGTCAAATTAAGGCCAGACTTCTGAAGGGTATGTTCCTTGTGTTTTCGTCAAGACCACAAAGCATCTGGATTAAGAAAGTTTGCCTCTTTTAGGATAGGCCATAACTTTAATCAGAGTCTCAGTGGAATGCAACACTCAGATACAAAAACCATTGACCTTGAGAAGGGCTAACCTTATCTCGGTTACCTTGTGTTTGGGAGGGAATCATATAAAAGTATTTCTTTATAATGAAACCCTGCCACCCCACATGGCCACTTAAATGGGTTCTGTACTCTGGCAAGTGTGATGCAGGAAATCCCTTGCTGTCAGCTCGGTCTTGATCACTTTGTTTTGGTGTGCACGTGGTTTTCAAATCAAAGGCATTTCAGGGTATCTGTTTGATACTTAAGTAGTACCAATGGGTGATACATGTAAATGACTCCCTTAGCTTTACTTCTGCATTGTTCTTTCTTGGAAATACAGACATGAGAAGCCTACAGATCCTGATGATCCCCTTGCTGATCAGAATATTAAAGACCGATACTATGGGATCAATGACCCCGTGGCCGATAAGCTTCTAAAGCGGGCATCTACAATGCCCCGTCTAGACCCCCCGGAGGACAAGACTATCACCACACTCTATGTTGGTGGTCTGGGAGATACCATTACTGAGACAGATCTAAGGTTTGTGGATATATTTTTATGAGCTCTGCTTTTTAAAAAAAAAAAAAAAAAAAGATTTATTTGTACATAGAGAACTGGGGTACAGGCCAGAGGTGCAGGGGCGGTGAGAGCATTCACCAGAGACAGAATGGGGAGCAGAACATGCAGATCGACAACACTGCTGAGGGGAGCAGTGGGCGGGTAGGAGAGGTCTGCAGTGCCATGCAGATCACCTCCAGGGCAGGCGGAGTTTGAACTCATGCTGAAGTGGCTTTAGCTTCTTAGTGCTGTGCTTTAACCCACTGTGCCACCAGGGAAGGCCTGAACTCTTTGCTTTTAACTGCCTGGGAATAAATTCGCAAAAATACAGGCAAGCAAGGTAATTCTATACAATGCACATTATGTTTAATGTTTGTAGTTTGTATAGTGCTGACTAGATTTTTATAAAATGGTCCTTTTTGACACCATCGTTGTAATGTTTATCAACTGTGCTTATTCCATCTTTGCCTATGCTAATAATTATATTTAATTTTATTTGGCCTAATAGTCAATTAGAATTTTTAAAGGAGAACACACATCCAAGTAGGATTAAGTAGGAGAGGGAGAGTTTTGCAATTATAAAGCTTTTGGTTTAAGTTGTTGACTTTTTAAAGAGATTGATGTTAGGTGAATTTGTATTTCTCTTGCCTTGTATACTGCTTGACTAAAAGTTTGTAGTGGAAATAACTTTTTCCATCACTAGAGCAGAGAAGAAACTTCTATAAATTTATAACCTTGCCCTTCGTAGGATGTCTTCAGTAAAAACTAAGTGAGCTAGATAATCAGACTCTTCCTTCCTCCTTGTCCTCTTTTTAAAATCTTAATATATATAATTTTCAACATTGTCAGTGTGTGGGTCTTGTACATGGCTGTAATCTGCCACACCCTTACCAAGGGCTTAATGTCCAAAAGGAACTTACTGGAGTCACCCTTCCTCTAGGGGAGAAACCCTGAGATGTTCCATAACCTATCTTTTACTCACTTTTCATTCCCTCTTTTGACATATAGCAACACCTCACAGTAAGGTTAAGTATTGAGGCAACTGCCTGCAAGTCGGTAGGCAGATCATTGTGGGTCAGCATTGTGGTGAGTCAGTGGAAGAGTTAGTAATATAGCAGCCTCATAGGAATACTTGTTGTTAACTCTGGGTTTTTCTCTGCCTGTGTCCCTTTAGGAACCATTTCTACCAGTTTGGGGAGATCCGGACGATCACTGTTGTACAGAGACAGCAGTGTGCTTTCATCCAGTTTGCCACCAGGCAGGCTGCCGAAGTGGCCGCAGAGAAGTCTTTTAATAAGTTAATTGTCAATGGCCGCAGACTCAACGTGAAATGGGGCAGGTGAGAATTAGATGAATTTCAAATCAATAGTACCTTTGCAAAGAATTTTTTCATTCTCTAATATCCTGTGGTGGTTGTGAGAATCCTGCTTTGGAAACCTTTTCAGTGTTTTGGTGTAGTAATCTCTCCTTTGAAAGTTCATGTTTCCTTGTGACCAACTACTATGGCCAAGTCAAATGCCAAGGCATGAAAGGTGGATTTGAGACTTAAACGTAAGAAGCAGAGGTGTGAGAGAAGGGGAGACAAGGGCTGAGGTTGTGTCTCTCTGTGGCAGGTCCCAAGCAGCCAGAGGAAAAGAAAAGGAGAAGGATGGAACTACAGAGTCGGGGATCAAGCTAGAGCCTGTCCCAGGACTGCCAGGAGGTAAATGTAAACCAGAGGCGGGCTGACCAGATACTGGACCGCCAGCTCCATGACCCTGGTGTCAGCGGCGGCGGCAGGACTCTTGCTCCGCCACACGTCAGCTCCATTTTCCCAGCAGGACCACCCAGGTGTAAAGGGGTGGAACGGCTGCACACTTCCCCATAAGTATTGACTTTTCTCTTGTCTAGCTCTTCCACCTCCTCCTGCAGCAGCAGCAGAAGAAGAAGCCTCTGCCAACTATTTCAATCTGCCCCCAAGTGGTCCTCCAGCTGTGGTGAACATTGCCCTGCCGCCACCCCCTGGCATTGCCCCGCCCCCACCCCCAGGTAAGGCCCTCTACCTTCTTAGTCATCAGGTCTGACTTAGCACAGAAAAAGTTTCGTGAAGGTTATCTTTGCACTTCAGCATCAAGTCTAACACATTGAAATCCTCTGAGCTTGCCCCATAGATGTCTACAAGTAGACTTAATTTGTTTTGTTTTGTTTTTTTTTAAAGATTTATTTATTTGCATACAGAGCTGGGGTACAGGCCAAAGGTGCAAGGGTGGTGAGAGGATTCACCAGAGACAGAGTGGGGAGCAGAACAGGCAGATCGACGAAGTACACTGCTGAGGGGAGCAGCGGGCGGGCCAGGAGAGGTCTGCCACGCCATGTGTTCACCTCCGGGGCAGGCGGGAGTCGAACTCATGCAGAAGTGGCTTTAGCTTCTCAGTGCTGTGCTTTAACCCGCTTTGCCACTAGGGAGGGCCTTAATTTGTTTTTTATACTTAATTTGTTACGATTTCTGCTATTTAATTTTCCCTGGCCTGCCAATGAGGGCAACGTTGCTAATTTTCTAAAGGTCGAAGATCTAAGGTTTCCCCTAATATCAGAAAGCAGAATGTTCTTATTTGCTATGATGTGGTAGGTTATTTACTAGTTCTAGGAAATGAATTTTCAAAACTTTTTCTGAGTAACTTTATGGCTAATAGTGTTCCCAGGTAAGAAGAGTTTCCACATAAACAGTATAAGTAGATCATGAGTATCAGGTTCTCCTTGGCAGAATTCTCTGATGAGGTCCCTGGTTTTTGAACGCACTACACTCTGGTGGAAAGCAGCGAGTTAATAATGACAGGCTCATGAGCCTGCTTTCTTCCTCACCTCCCACATCCTGACTGAATCCTGTCTGACAGACTCAGCGTGTTTGATAGATAGCAGGAGGGTTTCCTTTTAGCTTGGACTCACAGGAAAGATTGCTAAACCCAAGGAAGTAATACAGGTCAACTTTCCTAAGCAAGTCTTACACACCAACATTTTCTGGGTCCTTTGCCAGTTTGATTTATGTATAGGTGATTTGACCTAGATGCAGAAGTTTGAACAGTTGTCAAGGGGATTGTTAAGCCTAACGCATCTGTCCTCTACCATCTGCAGGTTTTGGGCCACACATGTTCCACCCAATGGGACCACCCCCTCCTTTCATGAGGGCTCCGGGACCAATCCACTATCCTTCTCAGGACCCTCAGAGGATGGGAGCTCATGCTGGGAAACACAACAGCCCCTAGCATCTTCTCACCACCCCGTGGCTCTGCGGAAGAAAGGGCGTTTAAAAATCCCAGTAAATGAATCTTGGAATAAATATATTTCTCCTTCCTTTGTAGTTTCCATGGTAGCTGAATGTGTTCAGATGTGGGCAGTCAGAGAACGACAGCCATGCTTTCCTACACATATTCAAAGGATTGATGGACTTCATATAAGCTGCCATTAACACATCTGGTTACTACTATAACATTACTAATAAAACTTAATGCCTCTTCCCTTACCTCTATGGAGAACAAGAACTGGGTGAATTGAAATGTCCAATGGAGTTACCATCATAATTATATGTTCATTTTGTATCTTTTTTGGGGGGGCAAAATTGACCTGCGGTTAAAAAAAAAACTTGACCATTTTTATGTCCATTGGGTATATTTCTTTTTACCATCTGAACAGATTCCTGGTACTAATCATTGTAGTGGCCTGAGTGTGATGTAATGCTTCTGAAGTCACATCCTCAGAGAGACAGTAGGAAACAGCACCCAGCACAGCCCAGGTCTTTTCTTATCTCTCCTTTCCTCATTTATTACTAAAGGAATCTGCTGATAGTTTTGCTTCTCTACGATACCAAAAAAGACAAAACAGAAATTAGTTTTTATTCCTGTCAATCAAATGGAAACACAAATGTGGAGCTGTGTATCAATGAAGAGATCTGGGATGAAATGATTTCAAAGGACTTCTGGAAAACACTTTCACAATCTGTAACACAAAAAACATCGGAGTATGTTTGAGTGGAAGACTTGTGATCCACACAGAGACTTTGACCTTCAGCATTCACCTTCGTGTGTCTTCAGTGTCTCATTTTAATTCCTTGCTTCTGGGCAGGGGACTATTTGGTCTTAGGATGTTTTGGATATAACTGAACTGTAGATGGAGGGAAAATTGATGTTGTGTTGCGTTTTTGTTTTTAAAAAATTAAAACGGGTCAATTTTCCAAGTGTTGTCATTGGCTTATTGCTAGATTTGTTTATCCTTCGAGAATTTGAGGTCAAAGCAAGTCTAAAACAAGATGTATGTAAATGTAAGTTTCTGTGTAGCCTGTTGGTTTTCATCTCTCTCTACTGTGGTGGTACAAAGGCCCAGGCCTTTTGCAGTACTTTGGTCAAAGATTTGGAGGAGGTTGAGACAGGCAACAGTGTGATGGTGGACGGGTGGTGGCTGTTAAAAGTCCTCATACTGTACAAGTCATTTAAAAGGGAACATAAATGTTACCTGCAAATCCATTTTTTTTTTCCTGAAGCCAGTTTTATACCAATTTTATTTACTATTTTTATGGAAAACACTTTCACAATCTGTAACACAATTGTGTTACACCCTGTTTTAACCTCTCCAGGGGATTTTTTTTTTTTAAACATAAGTCAGCATATATCAAAAGTACAGAATAGTGCTCACTTAGTATTTGTAAATAAATCAGAATTATGCACAAGTAGGTTTGGACAAAAACTTGATGTGTTTTAACAGATTTTCCTTTTCCACTAAGGAAACCCACTGGGTTATACTTAGTGGAAAATCGTTGCTATTCTTAAGCTTGATTGTAATTACAGCAACCCTAAGAGCTCTGTCCTGCTGACTGAATGCACCAGAGGCTGATTCCTGGAAGCTGGGAGAATCACAAGGAACGAACCCAGGTTCTGCACTGCTCTGAGAGCATATGATGGGAGGAGTTTTATAGTAAGCCATTAAAATCTGCAGTTAGTTGTTACAGCAGCTAGTGATAGCTTGAATCACAGATTTAGCAAGACACATGTTTATAGATTGCCTGAGTTCAAGTCCTCAACCTGTTGAGTCAACACCTCATCTCCCAATCCTTCCATTGCCTGTAAAGCTCTACCTCTCGTGGAGAAGGCTCAGAAGGAACAACATCATGATCATTGAGATATTTGTGCCTGAGGCAAAGAGATGTAACTAATGTGACCTGAAATAAGTGGAGAGGGAAGAATCCAGTGTGACACCCTCATCGTACCCCCCAGCTTTCTGGCTTGGACACTAGATAGGATACCTTTTCCTGAAATTGGAGGCTGGGAGAGATAAGATTGGAAGTAAAGCTAGGAAAATAGTTCCAGTGTGGGATCTGGTGAGTTTAAGGTACCTATGCAAAAGACCAGTGGGTATTCCCAGCTTAAAGGGCATTGGAGCTTAGAAGAGATCGGGGTGTATGAGTTGGAATGAAGCAGAATTTGAAGCCCTGTCTATGGAGTGAAATCCTGCAAGGGAGGGAAACAGGACATAGTTCTGAAGTTTCTGTGGATCTAAGTAAGCATCTAGGTGGTTTTTATGTCAGTGAAGCAAACATTACCCTTTGAATCTAGTCTAGAATGAGATTTATCCTAAGATTAGAAAATGCTACCCTCACCAGAAGTCTTATAGGCTCCATTATTTCTTCCCAACGTAGTATAAAAAATTTGGACATACAAAAAACTGAAAGACATTTACTGTGAACATGCATATATTTACATATATTGAAATTCACACATTTGAATGTCATAAGAGTGTTGACAAATGTCAACCAATGTGACCCAACCCAAAGCCAAGATGCAGGACATTATGATTCAGAAAATTTCTTTAGTCAGTACTCACATCTCACCAATCTCTAGAGGCAACTACAATTCTGATTTTTTTTGCCATAATTAGTTTTATTTTATAACTTAATATAAGTGGAACTATACAACAAACTTGTGATTAGCTTTTCAAATTCGTGCTGCTGGGGATTTTGTTATTTTTATTAAGGTGATGTCGGTTTAATCATTGTGTTTCAGTTGTATTGGTTGACAGCATACAACACCACGCCCACCACCACAGCACCAACAACCCTCCTCCACAGTGGCTGGCCTCCAGCTCTTTGATAAGCCCAGTTCTGCAGTCAGAGTCCAAGGGTCTACTTTGTTTTGGCTTTGCCTATTTCTTTGGTTTTGTGTCTTTGTATTCCACATGTGAATAGCATCAGTATTTGTCCTACTCCTTCTGGATTATTTCAATTAGGACAATCCCTTCCAGTTCCATCCATGTTACTACAAAGTACAAGATTTCATATGTTGTTTTTCTTTGTTTTCAATATATATTGCTGAGTATTGTGTTTATACACCATACCTTAATCCATCACTGGGCACTTAAGTTTTTTCCATATCTTGATATTGTAAATAATGCTGCAATGAACATAGAAGTGAATGTGCTTTTTCAAATTAGTGGGGTTTTTTTCTCTAGATGGACACCTAAAAGTGGAATTGCTGAATCGCAAAGTAATTACAATTTTTTTAAGGTAGAAAAGCAATGTATTCCATTATAAGCATTTACATAAGTTAACCATGGAGAGTAACAGGCCTGCAGGTGAAACAGACCACCCAAAATAGAGATTGTATCAAACTAGTGCCCAAGGACCAAGTCCTAAAATAGAAATTCCTATCTAGGATTAATTTAATTTTAAAAACAAGTCGAAACTATGAACTCACTCTTCTCAACCTGACAGTCTTCCTGCAGTATAGCTGTCAGGTAAAAACATATTTTCACAATATGGTGGCCCCATAGTTTTTTTTTTTTTTTTTAAAAAAAACCATTTGGGCCCTCCCTGGTGGTGCAGTGGGTTAAGGATGTAACACTGCACGTTAGCCACAGCTGCCTTAATTCAAGTTTGATCCCCTGCCCCAGAGGTGACCCACATGGCACAGCAGACCTCTCCTGATCCGCCCGCTGCTCCCCTCAGCAGTGTATTTTGTCAACCTGCCTGTTCTGCTCCCCACTCTGTCTCTGATGAATCCTCTTGCCACCCTTGCACCTCTGGCTTGTACCCCAGCTCTGTATGCATAAATAAATAAATCTTTAAAAGAAAGAGTATTCCCTCTCTTGTTTGAACTAATTTGTTGACAGTACCTCACGTAGAAGTTTAGCTGAACAAAATCTGTGTTCAAAACAGTGATAAACTCAAGGCTGACAAAATAAAGTGGGGAGTCTAAAGTCACAAAAATCATGGACATAATGCCTGTACTTGTCCTTTTCCTGGTCCTGCCTTCAGGATCCTCAACATAAATGTTCTCTGTCCTTTGTGTTCTGATACAAAACAAATCACCAAGGGTTCCCTGGAGTTCCCAGAGAAATCAGGTCTTTTAGTGAGTCCTAGGGAAAGTTGTTGATTAGGCAGCTTTGGGGACAGGGCGGGCAGGGACTTCAGAAGAGTTAGCGTCTCCGTCTGAGGTAAGGACAGTGCATTCTAAAAAGTGCTAACCAAAATATACCCCAGAGATGAGGTCAGGACGTCAAAGAGGACTAAACAAAGATAGTAAAAATTGAGAGAATAAGACCTTGGACAGGAGAAGTAAACTCAGAGCTGGGAAATGGGCACTTCTCCCTGGAGGAATGTAGCCACTGGGAGAAAAAAGCTAATCACAAAGTAGGTGATAAGGTTTTTGCACAGAGGGCAAGAAAAGGCTTAAGTGCCCCTAGACACACCCCACGATGGTTTCATTGCTCCTCCGAAGTGCTGCAAACCTGGGAATCCTTACTTCCTTCCTTTAAGTAAACTTTACTTTCTTAACGTTTGTTTCTCTCTGATTGTCTACTTGTCTAAAATGTCTGAATTCCTTTCTATGGCTTCCTAGGACAAGACCCTTGTGGTTCAAGGAGTAAATGAACAACACACACGGGCATCATTAGCAGTGTGACCCCCATCAGCAACTCTGGTGGCCCATCTTCTGGGATTAGTCCTCTCCAATTTTACTTTAATCCTAGATCAGTACCACTGGAAGCCAAAACATCCACTGAACTTGGAATATCTTCCTTACTGCCACTTATGTCTCATCTCCAGATTCCACAAGCCAACACTCTTGTCATCCAACCCTGTGGGCAGAGCAACTCACTAGGAGGATTGAAAGTGGCTCACTTCAGCGCTGAGAGAGCACCAGCTGAGGGGCTTGGTTGGAAGTCTTGTTTGGCAATGGATCCCAATCTTAAATATGAAGTTTCTGGCTAAGTAGAGACTCAAGGAGCAGACACCAAGAAACATTCTGCTACTGCTCTATATTCCATAAAGATGGTCTTCACAACCCCAACGTTCCCTTCCTTTGAAACAGCACTGATGTCCCATGAGCAGCTCCTGTGGCTACCTGATGCATAAAGTAAATGCCCACTGAGATCGGAGTTCCAGGTAACCCCACAGCCTTCCTCCTGATATGCACACAGATGCACATCTCGATTGCCTTCTCCAGAAGGCTCTGATTTAGAAAGATGTTTCCAATAGTCAAAACGATATCGCTGGGTGGAGTCTTTGTTGCAATGAAGCAAGGGCCCTGGGAACTTATTTGGATCCCATTTGCTTTTCTTTCATAGCTTATCTTGATTTCTACTTCAAGATTTCTACGAACTGAGCCAAAGCCTTCAAATTCTCCTTTCTCACTGTCATAGCATGAAGCAGCTGAGCATCATTGTTAGAGAACTGCACCGTGGCTATAGTGCATAGGTGATTTTGTTCACCTGGTGTGTGTGTCCCAGGACAAATAGGTGAATGTTGAAATCTTTTCTGTCTAGTCACATGTGGAAGTCACCCTGCAGTTAGGCTGGGGCATTTCAAAACATGGGTCAACACCAAATCATAAAGAAAAGTGACGTCTTTTGTATTTTGTACTCTGTTGATCACATGTTCTTCTGCGGTGTCATCAAATGCCCCTGCCTTTCTGGCTCTGGTGAGCAGGCAAGCGGGGGTGGTGCTGGGGTCCAGGAGGATCCTGGGGTTCAGGTGTAGGAGGGGCAGGGAGGCTACCTTTCTTTAACATTTTAAAGGTCCTCCATGCTATTTCAATAGAAGTCCATAGAAACTGGACTAATCTTCATCCCACCAGTTTGCTTTTCTCCAAACACTCATCAACGTTTCCTGTTTCCAGGGTATTTTTCTATGCGAGTCATTCTCACAGGTCTCACACCAGAGCCAGCAAGGGAGGGACATTTGA